CTCTCTCTCTCTCTCTCTCTCTCTCTCTCTCTCTCTCTCTCTCACACACACACCCCTCTACATACCTTCTCCCCCTTTCCAGCAGAGAGGATATATCTGGTTTTACAGCCATCACCAAATAAGGCCCCTTTGGTACTGGGGTACCAGTCACATCTTGTCACAAAAAAAAACATTATTTTCCTATTCCAAAAATACTCCTGTTTTAGGAAGTGTACATGGACACACTGGATTTGGATTATAGCTACCTCAGATGTAAGCTGAGGAACTACTTAGATTTAGATCTGGGCTCCATCCTCTAATATCTGGGTCACTCAGAGTGAAGCGCTTTTTGTCTCAAGCTATGCCACCTCTAACTCACACTCATCTTCTACTACCCCTATGTGGTAGCCTACCTTTCCTAAGATTTCTGTACAGGAGATTTAAGGGTGACTATCTGGGGCTTTTTAAATTATACTATAACATACATTATTGAGTTTCATAAACTTAGTAAAAGTAAATAAGCAGAAAACAGATGAAAGTATATTATTTCAGTAGGTTTTATTCATGAATACTTATCTAGTATTTCAAATGGGTATGTACGTTTGTGGGTCTTATAATTCTCTAAAGATATTTTCATTGCTTATTTCTCAGAACCAATAAGATCAGCACACCCACATGCCTTTGAAAAATTACAAATAAGATATCCAGGTGATAAAATACTATGCAGATTATAAAATATGATGTTTACAAAGAAAATTTATTATTAACACACCAGCCCCTCCTTCTTCCTACCCAGCCTGGTGTCTCTGTGATTCTTTGACAGTTAGCCAAGTCGTGTGTTGCCCATGGTTCCCAAATGTGCTCTTCCTCCTTCCTTTAGTACTATATTTAATTTGTAAAAGGTTAATGCTTAATTAAGAAACTAGTATATTAATAGCAGAAAGTCTATTAAGAATGATCCAAAATGCATAACTTCTTAGAGCAATACCTCCATCAACTCATAATGTAAGAAGCGGGTCGTATCTTGATCACATTTTGAACATCAGGTCTCTCTTTTCTTTTTCTCACTCACTCATTCACATTCCTGCCTTCAAGTATTCCTTCTCCAAATAAGAAATATGTCAGGTTGAATCATTGGAAAAAATTTAAAACAAAACAATAAGAGGTATGAATAAAATGGAGTGAGAAATTTATATCTCTGCCTTCTCAGTCTTATAAAATAATCACTATACGTTATTGCCAAGCTTTGATTTCCCATCTGTGAACATGTACTGGACATCATTCTATGTCCAAGCGCATTTACTTGACTTAGTTTTAGTGGACATATAGTAACCTATTGTATGGTCACATTACAATTTGGTTTCTTTTGCTGTTGAAGAAAGCAAAGTGCATCTTACTTTGCATTTGTAACCCCATGTATTTTTGGTGAGAAGTAATTATAAAGAATAAAGAAATATCTCTACAACAAGTCCTCTAAAAATCCTTTCCTTAAATTCTATTGCTTCTTGAGCTCTTGACTACAGGAGCTAGGAAAATGTCCTGAAAAGATATTATTTAGCTGCAGATTATAAGAAATGTCTATATAATTAACAAATCACCGTTTCCATTTTGCTTTACCATTCCTTTGAGATGGTGATTGAAAAACTCCAGTATCTCATGTCCAAGCTTAGAGTGAGAGGGGAGGAATCCCTGACTGGCTTTTTTAAAAAATACCTGCTAAATATATTACTGCTTTTATTATATAAGAAAAAAAAATATATATATATGACACACCCACTGTGTGCCTTCTCTATGACTCTCTAAACTACACATTCTGTAAAATGTTATACTTTGTCTTTTTATATGACACAAATGTGTTCCATTGCCTATTTGAATCATTCAGTTTCATTAATCCTTAACACACATTTCATTAACTAACAATTTGCAGTATATCTATTAAACATGAGGTATCAAGATGCCATTCTGATTTGTAGCATTCTGAAATTTGTTCTAGAATGCATTCTCACACAAAAATATTACCATCTATAAACTACAGCACTGAACTTATTAGGCTTCCTCACAGTCAGACCTCTCTCTCTCTCTCTCTCTCTCTCTCTCTCTCTCTCTCTCTCTCTCTCTCTCATTCTCTCTCTCGGTATCTGTCTCATCTGGTGTCTCTCCTAGTTTCTCTCATGGTATTTCTCCTGGTCTGTCTCTGTCTCTATTTCTGTCTCTCTCCTGGTCTCCTCTCTCGCTCTTTCTCTTTCTCTGTCTCTGTCTCTTTCTCCCCCTTTCCTGGAAAAGTCTAACATGCATGGATGTATCACTTAACTGTCAATTCTTACTCTCCTACAACTCTAAGATTAATGTTTTTCTCCTCTTACCCATCCAAGAAATGGCCAGGATGTAATGTGCCTTCTTAAGTCTCTGAGCCAATGAACTCTTCAACCCCTTCCTCACCTAAAAAACATTTTACATCCTTTTCTTTGCCTCTAGCAAGTTCTCTCTAATCAATTTCACCTGTTTGAGTAAACCTGATGGGAAAGACACAGTCCAAATAGTCCCCCCAGTAGGAAGAGTTGCAGAAAGTAGAGGCCTGCGTCTTTTTTCAGTGACCAGGGAGAACATTTAGGTTGCTACAGCACATACAAAAAGTTCTTGGCAAACAGTTACCTTTGAGTTGGGGTAGAATTTCCGGGACAAATGATGCTCATCCTCTAAAAAAGCTGGTCCTCACCATCCCCTCCACAGCCCTCTGCCTGCCACAAAAGACCTTGTTTCCTGAACTGCAGGTCTTGTGTCTGGGCTGTTCCTGACGGAAACAGTGCAGTATTTGACTACTCTTGCATAACATTTTCATAATCCACGCCTTTTGTTCTAAGGAAAAACCTGCTTTCCTGATCTAAGAAAATACTCAAACCAGGGGACTTGGGACAGCCACAGCTCCTGAGACTGATGAGTCAGACTGGCTGAGACGCCCATGTTGTTCATCCTGATGATTTTCTTGAGCTCCACTTTGAGCCAGGTCCTAGGGTGGGGAAAAGGGACACGAAGACGAAAATGTCGCTTTCCTGTATCCAAGGAGCTTGTGGAAGACTGGGGCTCAGAAATGCAAAACAACTGGGAGTCCCTGTGGAGAAAGGTGAGGCTACAAAGGGAGACAATGGTGCGTCCACGGGACTGGGGAAGGCTTCACAGGTATAGTGCCTGTGACGGGCTTGGAAGCACGAGTGGGAAATTTCCTGACGGATGAGAGTTGAAGAGGTCTCGGGGCTGTGAGAAGGCTGTGGAAGTCAGAGCAAGTGCCACAAGGAAAGCCGCAGAATTACTGAGCAGGAGGAAGGGTGGCCGTCATCAAGACATTGATTAGTAGCAAATGCTAGCAAGGTGGCAAGGAAAAAGGAAACTTTGGGCACTGTGGATAAAAGCGTAAACTAGTACAACTGCTATGGAAATAAGTATGGAGATCCCTCAGAAAGCTGAATCTACAAGTTGCATTTGAGCTAGATGTTCCTCTTCTGGGTATCTTCCTTAAAAAGTTGAAGCTATATTGCAGTGAAACATACTTACTCGTATTGACAGCAGTGAAATTCATCATAGCTGCATCTTGGAAGCTCCCTGTATATCTGTTAATAGATGAAATGATAGCGAAAATGTGGTATGTGCACACACTAGAGGGCCACTCTGCCACAGATAAGGACAAACTTGTGTCACCTGTAGAAATATAGATGCTCTTTCAGGCCATAATAGTAAGTGACATAAACCAGACACATAAGCTTAAATATCACGTTTCTCTTACAAGAGAAACCCAAATTAGAATTAAAGAGCAAAATAAAAGATAGATAGAAGAAAGCTGGGAGATAAGAGCTTTCTGCAAAAAAAAAAAAATGGGATTAAAAGATGGATGGATGGATTAGAGTGTCTGCAAGCAGGTGTAGGGGTCGGGAATTCGATCCCTGGGCCTGCCGTGCTGGTCCCGTCCCCGGGGCTCCCTGAGACGGCAATTGAGACTGGGGCATGGTGGCATGCGCCTTTAATCCCAGCTCTTAGGAGGCTGTAAACAGGCGGATCACCACGAGTCTGATTTAGTAGTGAGACCCTGAACAGCCTGTAGACCCTTCCCTAAAATACAAAGAGAGA